GAGACCCCTCCCAAAAAAGGCAAGTATAAATACCAGTGGAAAAAAAACTCATACAATTTAAAAAAGGAAATGAAAGCATAGTGTGACCCTTGGTTTCAAAGTAAAGAGAGCCCTGCCCTTAAGGATAAAAGTTTAGTGTTGGAATGTAGTGGCCCATCAAACTGAATGGATAAAGTCCATGTAAATTATGGAAGGCCTTCAAAGCTGGACTCAGTAATTTGTGCCCACGGTGTGATAAGCACAGAGAACCATACTGGTTCTTGAGAAAGAGAATAACAAGTTAAAGGCAGGACTGTAATGACATTAGCCTGACAGCAGGAGTGGCAGAGAGCCAAGGGATAAGTCTGTCGCAAATTTCCAGGCATGAAGTGGAGGAATAAACAGACAATAGAGAAAGAAAAGCGAACACACCAGAAAGGCATTTCAGACAAGGACTCAGATACCAGAAGTGAGTAAAGGGTGGGATGGTTTCAGTGATTTCGGTCTGTGAGCTGGGAAAATAGTGAAGGTTTTTATTTAGCATTGCTGTTTTATTATTACAATTTCTCTTTCTCCTCTCCCTCCTTCTCCTATTCCTCTTTCCAAGTTGACATTAAGCTCCTGGATGGCAGAGACTAAATCCTGTATTTGTTTCCTTGACACAAGCTCTGGGTCCTACAAGAGTCACTCAGCTGGTGCTTGTGACTGTGACTTTGGGTGGTGGTGGTGCTGATGTTGCTGCTGATGGTGATGATGACAACAATGATGTTTCAATGGTAAAATCTGAGCTTCCATGAGATATCAGCTCCTAACGGGAGTTGGAAGAAAATGCTTTTGAAAATACTGCTGTTACTTCCTGTAGTGAAATGCCTTCATTTTTCCTTTCTTTAGGAACCTTTGCTTAACTCCATCTATACAGGGATCCCCCACTTTTCCAAAGTTTCCTCTATGCCACTTTGCTTTTACAAAAGACTGACATTAATGCCTGTTTTACTAACTGAAAGAAATCTGAAAAAGATTTCACTTCTATAAAGCAAGGCAAAAAAGTAAAAATATCATTCAGTGCTTGTTTTGCAGAGAGCCCGTCAGAGAGGCAGCGCACACCCTGAGCAGTACAGTGACACCCCAACCTCCTTCCCCTGGAACTATGCTCAGCATCTCACATCAAGGCTCCCTAGCTTTGGACGGTGTCTGTGAGCATCTGTGCTTTATCTCGATTTATTCTGTGCATTCTTCAGCAAGATGTGTCCGAAGGTAATGGCCTTTTCACTTTACGTCATTTCAGCCTACAGAAGGTTTCACAGGAACACTCTACTTTTGGATAGCAGGAAAATCTGTATCTAAGTAGAAATAAAACCAAGCAGTATTGGAGGACCTGTCTACAGTTAAACTTACTTCTAAATTCTTCTTTCATATCCTTTTTTGGCTGAAAACAAACAGACTCTTCTTTAGGAAGTAGAGCTATTTAAACAATCTCTGCCCTGGGAGTATGGGCCTTTCACATCTTGTTTTCGTTTCATATTTTTAAAAAATGTTATTTTCAATGCAAGCACTAGGTGGCACTTGTGATGTATTCAATAGTTGCCTCAGATCCTTTTTGGAAAAGGTTTGGTAGGAAAAAAATGTAATAAATATTAAAATGGGAAAATCTTCATTACAATAATGAGGATCAGGTCTTATGATTGTGTTTACTATGTTACTATGTATGAGCAATATCTTTATGCAGTTTTTGGATTTAAAATCTGGGCTTTGCTTCCTTTATAAAAAACAGCAAGAGAGGATCCAGCATCTCTACAATACGTGAAAACCCCGTATCACTAAAATAATAAATAAGGGTGTAATATTTGATTTGCAAAGACTGACTATAGGTGTTCTTTCAAACAGTTTCTCTACTGTATTTAAAATATTGTAATTTGTAACAAAAGATTATAAAATAAGGTTTCCAAGATCCATCTATTGTGTAAAGCAAAATAATTTATCATCAATTTAAAATAAGGCACTACAGCTTAAAGTTTTTTTGAGTAAGATTAACCAAAAACAAAAAATTTAAAGCTGATGTTGATGTTTCAGGACCTTTTTTTTTTTTTAAACCATCTTTAAAGTAATGACATAATGAGTTTAAGCAAATTCATTGTCTTTTCTCATATTTGGTTTGGCAGTTCCTATTTGGCTAAGTTGCTTAATTATGGTCCCACTTTACTGCAGAGAGATTTCAAGTTCTTTGAACAGAAATGTGGGTTGAGAAGGTATTATTTCAAATGGAAAATACGGTTGCCAAGTACCATGGCAACAATAGTAGCCTGTAGACCCTCTCACGTTATTGCATCTTTTCTCTGCTTCTTGTGGAGGGCTTTGCGGTAACCATTTTATGGATTAGGTTCACTCGCAGCTCCATCTCACTTCTCTATCCTTATTCTCCCCTTGTCTCATTTTTGTTTCTTATTTTAAATGTACTTTTCCTTGATGTACCTTTACAGGGTAATTTAACACAATGCCGTCTTTTTGGAACAAGATGGGTTATAAATAAATTAATAATAATGCTAATGCGCTGCCTTGTAATTGCTCTAATTTGTAGGTTTGAGATGAAATTGACATTTTGAAGGTAGTATCTCATGTAGTAGTAAACTTAGCATGTCAGAACTCAGAGATAAATATGCAAAACCGCACCAGTACTGAACAAATCTCAGATCTCAGTGTAACAGATGAGTTTCTTTGGTTGCATATGATAGGGATGGATTCTGGCTAACTTAAGCAAAAAGGGACTTTAACAGAGTACTAGCCAGGAACTCATGGGATGGACAGGAGGTTGGAGGGCCAGGCCTGGACACAAGACATGAATGAGGACAGCTCCTGGAGTCTAAGCAGCAAGAAAAACTTACAGATGTTGTCAAGGTGCTGCTGCTCCAATGTACACTCACCCTTTGCCATCCTTGTGTGTCCCTACTCAAGACTCAAAGTTCTAAGAGTCCAGATTGTTTAATGTGTTCTGTTCATTCATAGATTTCTAGTGCTACAATCATGGAAAATTTAGCATGGAATAAAAACTCTGTCTTGAAAGGTTGACAAAAATATAAAGAAATATAAATTTGTAAAAATGAAAATCCCAGGAGTCCAGCTGTCTTTCTTTGGTCACATGTGGCTCCTTGGTTACCCTGGGATGAGAAATATTGATTTACATCCCAACCAAGATTGTCCACAAAGGGGAGAAATAATTCCCCAATAATAAATTGGGGTGTTCCTAGGAAGGGAGATGATTGCTGGCCCCCCCAAAACTATCTAGGGGCACTAAACTACAGGAAGAGTAGATTGTTAGTTCCTGTGTTGTAGTGTAAACCCCTATAATGGGTTGAATAGTGTCCCCCCCAAATTCATGTTTATGCAGAACCTCAGAATGTGATCTTATCTGGAAATAGGGTAACTGCAGATGTAATTAGCTAAGGGCCAAGATGAGACCTTACTGTATTAAAGTGGCCCCTAAATCCAGTGAGAGTGTCCTTATAAGAGACAGAAGAGGCCTCCCAGAGGAAAGGTGATGCAAAGATGTAAGGAGAGATTGGAGTGATGCACCTATAGTATGAGTCACAGAATGTCAAGGATTGCCAGCAATCACCAGAAGCTAGGAAAGAGGCATGGGATGGATGGATCCTCCTTCAGCCTCCAAAAGGAATCACCCTGCCAACTTCTGGCCTCCTGAATGGTGAGAGAATAAAGTTCTGTTACTTAAGCCATTCAGTTCATGGTAATTTGTTATGGCATCTCAAGAAAATTGAACATAACCCCCAAGAATAGTTTCTTTGTGCAAAACCCTAAGTGGTAATACCATCAA